CCTCACCCTCTTTATCCCTCCCTCCCCCTCCTTCTCCCTCTTCTCTCCTCCCTTCTCTCTCCCTGTCTCTCCCCCACTTCTCGCTCTCCCCTCCCAGAATGGAGCCATCATGAACAAGGGCACAGGGCGCTGCCTGGAAGTGGAGAACCGTGGCCTGGCCGGCATTGACCTCATCCTCCGCAGCTGCACAGGACAGAGGTGGACCATTAAGAACTCCATCAAGTAGAGGGGAGGAGCAGGCCACCCGGAACCTGGCTCAGGAAGGGTCTTACACCCTCCAGACCAGCCGCACTGGTGGAGAGACTACAGGGGCCAGCAGGTGCTCAGCAGACTCCCAGGGTTTCTCCAGGGCAGCTCAGGAACCCAGGTGGTGACTTAATGTCCCCCTCAGGCCTTCAACTGCCCACAGGCTTGTGCACCCTGGAAACGTCCTCACCCTGAACCCTTCTCTGGGAAACTAGCTGTGGCTCCTGCAGCCCCAGATGTGCACCTGGTTCCAAGGAGCGAGACTCCCCATGTCTCTTCCTTGTCATCTCCTACTCACTCCAGATCTGGGACTGGCAGGGTCCTTTCTCTTTCTCATCTTTTGCAGCAGCAGCTTCTGAACTCCACACCAGCCCTCAAGGCAGGGGCAACGGGAGCTTCACCACATCCAGCCCCCTTTGCTCAGAGGGACAGCCAGGCCCTGGAACTTGGTTTCCTCTAAGGTTGCTTCTGCCCAGATGCTGTTTCACATCCAAGACAGTGCTGCCCCCCCGCCAACTTTCCCAGCAGGGTGGCTTTGAGGGCTACAGCTCTGGGCTTTTCTGGGTCCCCCTAAGATGGCCTGGGAGGAGCTGATGCATCTCTTCTGGGCACCTGGGCTCTAGGCGCCTGTAGTCTGCTCAGGTCAGCTCCTCTGCCTGTGTTTTGAGGGAGCCAAAGACAGAAATGGGCTGAGCAGGTGAATTATGGTAGCTGCCAGGGACCCTGCAGGTGAAGCCAGGCCATGCAGCTCTGGCCACTGCGACCAGGAAACTCTGACTCGTCAACACTGTCCTCAGGCAGCAGCAAAGGGGCTCCACCTGGACTTGAGGGCTGAAGTTAACGTGGCCTAGAGTGCCAGGAACCTCGAAGATGCTTCCTGCTCACCTCATTTCACCCCACGCTCTGCTGGCTGACGGGAGAAGGCAGTCGTTTCCTCTCTTAAGAGTAATAATTTTTTTCCGATTGCCCTCTGGTTAGGGTGCACTTATAAATCAGAGTTAATATATGGACGTGTGTACATGCATGCGAGTGTGGGCCTGTGTGCTGTGCGTGCAGGGTGTGTGCACGCATGTGTGTACATGTGGCGTGTATGTGCGCGTGTGTGTCTGAGTGTATGGTAGAGCAAATGTAGCTGTGTGGCCTTGGGCTTGCCACCTCATGGCTCATCTGGATGGGGACAGGCTGATGAGACACAAGTGGGGGTGGCTCTGTGTCACTGGCCAGGAGGATGTGGCTTGGCCTTGCCCAGCGTGGTGTCCCAGACAGAAGCCTGTCCCTTCTGCCAGTTCCCATCTCTGTACCTTGTGCTGTCCCAGGCCAACCCTTGCCCAGAACCAAACCCTGTAGTTGCTCCGTTGCCCAGTGTGGGGTTCGCAATGTCTCGTTGGGTGGCCTCTTATTGGTGATCGGCCCCTCACCCCATCTCCAAACTTGTGAAATAAATACATGTTAGCACTCTCCAAGGCAGCCTTGTTTGCGTCTTCATTCTTCCAGAACCCCAGGGTGTGAGCGACTTCCTGAGACGAGGCAGAAGTCTTCTTTGGTTTGGGGAGTTCGGTCTTATTAAAGGCAAAAGGCCTTCATGGGTTGGGGCTGATATAAAACCAGCTTGCCCTTACACAGACCTCCCCTGCAAAGCAAGATAGAACTTGATTTCTTTTCCTCGAACTTATATTCATTTATTTCTTCCAAGAGCGACAGAGGAGACTGAGGCACCTCAATAGGGGAGGTCCCGAGTCACAAACCTGGAACTTCTTATGTGGTCCTGTTGCAGTACCACTGTGCTACCACCAGGCCCAGACTTGACATTTGACACTGGCTCACTATCCCTGGCTGACTGGGCTGGTGCTGAGAGCAGTAAGGAGGAGACTTGCTGGGTGACCTGGTCTGGCCCGCCTGACACACCCACCTCTTGCTGCTGCCATCCTGTGAATCCCACTTCCCAAGGCCTTGGAGTCTGTGGAGGGAGGCCCTTTCTCATGGATGTTCATGGAGAAATGGAATCCTAAAGGGCACTGGGCCTCTGCCGTGGAAATGGACACAGATGGGATGATTGGTCATCCTCTCAGCTGTGACAGTCCCATCTGTCTTTCCTGTGAGGAACCCAAGAAGACCCCTCTTGGATGACTCACACACACACACATCAGTTGCCATTTTTCTTTTGAGTTCTGTGAAAAGAGTCCACAAGCACATTGAAGGGAAACGTTGCTGTTTTATACCGAGGAGTTCCTTACCCTTAAATACCAGTCTCAGTGTGACTGGAAAGTGAAGAGTTAAGACCTTGGGGTCCCGTGTGAGCTGAAGGTGAATGCTAAGATATGAAGCCCACACCCTCCAGGGCTAGAGGAGAGAGTTAGCGAGTCAGAGGGCAACTTGCTGCACCTTGGGCTCATGTGTACGCCCAGCTATACCCCACAATAGGAACATCACTAAGTGTCCTGGAACTTGGGAGAAGAGAGTGCCCCATGTAGTACCACACAGCAGAGGGCAGCGTGTCTGTTTGCTGGTCTATGTGGGGTGCTGGTTTAGGGCCAGGGAAAGCAGTACATATTCTCGGAGGCTCTGCTGCAACTGGTGGTTCCAGAGTCCAGGAGCCTGGGCTGTCCATTCACATCAGCATCAGTCAGCAGCAGCTTCCTCTCAAAGGCTAGGGATTGCTGGGCAGACTGACCAGAGCATGAGCTCAGCATCCACGTCCCTCCTGGACCTGAAGGCACTGGGAATGGCCAGGGACCAAGAGAGAGAAGAATCAATGAAGTCAGAGAGAGGGAGGATAAGAAAAGAGGAGTAGGAACCTGGATAGTCTTTGATCCCAGGTTCTTTTTTTTTTTTTTTTTTTGGAGATTTTTACCTCTAGGGCGCGCG